GGAACATATCAATGTTGCGTTGTGCTTCAGATGTTGTAATTTCGGACATGTAGCTAAGCATTGTAAAAGCGATGTATGTTGCTACAAATGTGGAGGTACACATGAACCCAATACAACACAACACAAATTACAATTACATTAGTACAACACAAATTCTAGATTGTCCAAATTGTAAGCGCTTGAGACTTAATAACAGAATTCACTCTGCAAGAGATCAAAAATGTCCGGCTTTTCTGCAAAAGATGAAGAAACAGCGCGAGTAAATTAATTTTAACAACACCCAAGAACAAAAAACTTTTTTTCCGACTCAATAGAACAGCCTAACCGAGATAATACCAATGCCCCGACGAAATTAACAAGATTCAGTATCATACATCAAAATGTCCAGTCTCTAGGAAACTGTGTGGATACTATTAATCACATGCTAGATGAAAATAAATATTGCAAATGTCTCTGCATTACCGCACATTGAAAAAAAGAAGAACACCTAAAAACGCTTGGCATTCATAATTTTACGCTTGCATCCAGCTATTGCAGAAAAAAAGGATATGGAGGAGCTGCAAGCGAACAAAGCGTCTTCTCGGGGATGATTTTAAATTTCCAAGTGTTTGTCTAGTTTGCTAAGTATTCTTTGTAGTTTTGCGTGTATGTATCTGAGGTTTCTGAAAGTGTAGTATAGGCAAGTGTCGCGTACAGGGCTATTTTTGCAACGGGATCTTTAGAGATATCGGCCGTAAAAATGTTGTATAGATCTGGGGAAAGAGGGGATCCTTGCGGAACTCCAGCTTTCGCGATGCTTGGGGACGCCAGGATGTTGTTAATTTGTACTTGGAATTTACGGTCTGCTAGAAAGCCTGCAGCAAACTGCATAAAAGCAATTGGCAGTTTGCAGAAGCTGTCCAGTTTTCAGATTAGCGCTTCATGCCAGAACCTGTCAAGCTCTTTTTCTATGTCCAAAAGAATAACCCCCTTGGGGGCTTTTCCCTAGAGTCCTCATTTGGCGTCCTCCATAAGTCTCGCAACTTGCATTTTGGAATCGTGATTGCTCATGAAACCGAATTGCTCGTGAGGGATTCCGTTGTTAAGGAATATTTTGGCTAAGAGTCTTTCTTTAAAGGAATTCTCTGTAAGTTTAGGGAAGGTTGGTATAAGACTAATTAGGCGCCAGTTTTGTGGAGCGGATTTGTTTTTATTGGGCTCTGTTCGAAAATGGAAAAGCACTATTATTTAGTGTTAGTAGGATAGTTTCGGGGAGCATTTTAATCACCCTATTTGAAATTTTGTCTATGCCTGGAGCTGTTTTGGGTCTGTTACTGTTAGTGTCTTTGTTTTTAGGATCTTTGATTTCTTCGTCGCAGTCCAGCTCATCTCCTAGGAAATAGTCAACCTTGAACTGATTTTCCAGCGTGTCAGCGAAAGCTTCCGCTTTTTCCATGTCGCTGTAGCCCAGCCCATTGTTGCCAGTAATGGGGGGAAAGTTAGTGTGGGATTTTCCTTGGAATTTTTTGGTGAGTTTCTATACCGAAATTTCACCAGGCTCCAACCTTTCCAGATAATTTTTCCTAGAGTTTTTAATTTCAGACATTTGTTATTTTTCGCTAGTTGGTTTGGTTGTCGGTTGAGAAGAGAATCAGAGTTTCTTTTAGCTAGTCGCTTAAGGCGATTTTGCAGTTTTATTTTCTTTTTAATTTCAAGGGTTTTTGTTAGAGTTGTCTTTCAAAATTGTTGCTTTTAGCCTTGCATTGAATTATGGTCGGAGCTGAGAAAGTCAGATTTTGAAATTGCCAAATTAAGAGCGATATTTTTAGGTGGGTTCATCGGGGGCGTGAATTTGGCGGTCTAGGTCTTCGCATATTTTTAGGAGTTTGTTTCCTTCGCTGTTGGATTTTTTACAGCCCCGTGTAACATTTTTGTTGTTAAGATCCCCAGCTAGGAGGGTGGTTAGTTTTGGATTAAAAAAGGTGTCATTAATAAGCAGGAGTGGAGATTTTTTGAGAGGTTTGTAGGCAGAGATTAGTTAGATTGTGTAGGTTAATGACAGTGGATTCGATTATAGAGTTGAAGAGGGGATTAGGGTGTGCGAAATGGAGCTTTTGAAAATGATCGCGGTGCCTCCGCCCAGTGTGGGTCCATCTGTGCGGTAAGTCCATACGATATGGACACCTGGGGGATTAATGCTACTTTTTAACATATCATTCTGAGGATGATGGAGTTATAATTTTTGGGACAAGGGCAATAACTTGCAGGGTGCGGCCCTCGACAGTTACTGCATTTGGCAAGTAGGTCGCGGGATTTATGACACTCGTTATAGAAGTGCGGCTCGGCACATTTGTGACAAATGAGTTTTGAGTCGCAGTTCGATAATGAATGCCCGAATTTGTGGCAATTTTTACATTGTATAATGTGTTTAATGTTTAAAGTGTTTCTTTGTGGTTTAATTAGGACACGAAAGTTTAGGAGGTGCTTGACTTTCTGAAAGTTTGCTTGGGACTGTGGTAAACCGACTTTTACTATATCGGAAACTTTTTTAGTATATCGACTTTTACTATATCGGAAAAAAAAGCCGGCTCTGTTGGTTGTTTTGGGAAGGTTCCAAGGCGTTGCGATTAGTTTTAGAGGGGGGAAAGTTGGTTCAAAGGAGGTAAATTGGAATCTACTTCTATATGTTGGGGTTCTGGTTCAGGATTCGATTTGGGAGGTTCTTGAGGGACAGGTTGGGAAATTTCTGGGCTTTCTGGGTGACATTGGGACATATGGGTTTTGAAATGGTTGAGGATTTCGTCCAGCTTGTACGAGTTGAGCTTTTTTTTTGGGTTTTGACTTTGGAGAGGATTTTATTCAGGGTTTGGTTTTCCTTAAAGAGGGACTTCAGGGTGCAGGTGGCGTTTGGGTAAGCTTTTATGTCTTACAGTATGTCAGATTTTTGCGATTTTCCCCCAAAAAAAGTACCGGGTTCGAGCCTATTAGTCCTGGGGATGTCTAAGGTTAGCGAACCTTGAAGCTACTATCTTACATGATTTCTTGCTCGGATATATCCGACGAAACTCTTGTCTTTGTAATAAATCAGGTTAAAATAAAATTACTCATAGATCTATAGTGATTAGATTGTAATTATATTCAGAGACCCATGGGAAGCTATCTAATAATAAAAAAATATTTACCTAGAAACTTTTTATTATTATTGACCTAGGGAGAGAAATATAACGTCTCACTAGGGAAATGGTGAATATGGTAAAAAAATAAACAACATCAAAATCATTAAAAACGCGAATTAAACGAAATTCTAACAGTTATGTATACCTACTTTTCATAGATAACAAACTGAATGAAAATTAATAGTTTTGTTGCTTTGAAACATTATTGATTTGAAGTCCCTGGTGATCGGAAGTTTCAATCGTTTAACAATTTTAAAGTATCAAATAGAACGGTTCATATAACCCATTACAGGCTTCCCAGTTTTGTAGAAGCATCAAAATGGAATACCTTTTGATATACCATTTTGGCTCGTATACACAACTTAGAACTCTGTAAAGGCTTTTTAAAACACTCTGGAAATCGATGTTGTGGTTTGTTGTACACTATGTATATCATCAAGCAAAAGGAGAATTTATAACAGTTCTATTAGTTTAGCTGTTTAATTTTTTTAAAACGATTTATTTCGCTGAAATTTCGGACATTACTATTAACTGAATTAATAGTAGAACCCCAGTTTCGGTCATTAAAACAGTAAACACTAGATACCATATCTGAATATAAACTTACACTGGTTTGTATCCGATGACTAGTAGCAGAGCATCTACCAAAACAGCGGGAATGATATGAAATAAGAAGAAGCAAATGTAGTGCACTATTTTGGATCTCTTCATTGAGCCACCTGGGTACCAGGCAACACCATTCAATGGTATTTTGGTATTGATTACCTAAAAATTATAAGTATATATTTATAATCGCAAATTTAATCTCCCAATATTCCATCTGTCGGAGGATTTTTTAATAATATACTCCACCTTTCGTCCTATGTTGATAATTTCTTCCATGGTTATTTTATAAAGTGCAGAACTGGTTAGATTAAATATCCATTTCTTCCTCCTGAAAAGGTAAAGTACAGGTTAGTATCGATAGGATTACACTTAGATTAATGTCTTTGGATTAAAAATCCAGCATTTTTGTATCAGATAAAGTAAGTGTTTTGTATAGAAAGTGGCTCAAAACTCGTATTTAAAACATAAATTGCTGATAGTGGGTCGAAAGGAAAACATTGAATTCGAGATATGATAGCATAGACCTCATAGATAATTTAAAGATCTTCTAACAATGTGACAATTATTTTAAAATATCTCCAAATAAACTCAGGAAAACAAAAACCATTTGAGCAAATCGCGCTTTTTGTCGGAATTTTCCAACTTTTAAAAGATCATTAACGCAAAGTTGCACATAAAAATGAGCAAACGACTCCGAACACCCTGTATATTTACATGCTATATGAAACTTACGTCCTTAATGTGGTATATTACGTTTTTGGAAAGTACATGCTTTGGAACCATCAAATGTGGCGTAGATACTGTTAGAGCCATTTAGGATTCATCCTTGTCAAGAAACAGCCTTCCACCTCTGTCGAGGCAAAATGTTTTTTAAAAGTCTCGTTAGTGGACCAATAGACCGAGAAAGCGGGTGGTAAAAAGGGCAAGGCGTATATAAGCACAGGGTGGCATAGTGTTCAGGTTCTTTGTAGAGTTACTACACCCTTTTTTGTGGCGTTTATTATACAAAGTTCAGTTGTTCTTTTGTTCGGAGTGTTTTTGTCTGCCTATTGAAATACTTAAGCAATTTTGGCTTTTATTTCAAACGGGGTTGTGAAGTTAAGACTGGTAGTTTCCCTGGTGTTTCGGACACAACAGATATCATATCTTAGATGCCTGTATTTTTTCTTCGATACAGTATTAGGATCAAACACATATTAGTCCATCTGATAAATTTTAGTTCCTATGAAAACAGTGAGAAGTGAGCTATTATATACTGAGAAAGCTTAGGAGGTTCATTCAAAAAGCTTGGTCTACAAATTAACTCATCAAAAACAAAAGTAATGTCTAATTCCATTAATGTCGCAGATGTTGATCGTAAAGTAAAGTTGTAAGTCGTGGACAAGTATGTCTACCTCGGGCAAAAAATATTTTTCGACAAGGACAGTCAGAAAATGGAAAACTTAGTAATGTCTTTAATTTCGCAATACCATAAAACACAAGTTTTTGACCAATGTGTCCTGCCTACCTGAACGTACAACGCAGACCAAACATAAAGCCTTAATGAGGGGACCATGGAGCGACTGAAAGACAAACGAATGGATCAGACAAAATACAAAAGTGATAGACATCGCAGAACGGGTGACCAGGCTAAAATGGAAATGAGCCGGTAATTTGATGAGGGCAGAGGATAATATATGGACCAGGAAGACAACTGAGCGGAGTCCCAAAACAACTGAAAAGAACCCAGGACGACCAAGAACGAGGTGAAAAGAGGACAGCCAGAGGCCAATCAATGGATAAGTCAGACGACCGACAGAAGTGAATGGCGACGAATAGGAGAGGGCTACATATGCCCAGAGATGGACTGAGAAAGGCTGAGGATAATGATAAAAATCAGCAATATTTCGAGAAATTAAAATTCTTTAAATAACAATATCTGTATTATAATAATTGAAAACTTCAAAAACTCACTCGTCATATATATAAAACCAGACAGAAGCAAGAGTAGCATTTACAACGATATCGACCGGCATATAATCGGCGTAAGCATCCTGCTTGCAATACATTGTTCTCAATACTCCTTTGCCAGCTCCAATTAGGAGTCCCGTAGGTCCGTTTATGTTATCAGTCCATCCAGGAATCGGTTCTTTCCAAATGGGAATTACTAGAAAAAATATAGATTGATTAGATATTGATTATCTTGAAGACTTTGAAGACAGAGAAGTGTCCTAATACACTTTCAAAATAAACATTATAGATAAAATTGAAGTAGGTTATAGAGCATGTCTAGCGTTAAACGGAGGTCATATACAAAATTAGTGATGTTAATGATTTTGTTGAGTTCTTTATGTTTTGAAATTTACAGTAGCAATAAATTCCGTTATGCTCTCTTTCTATAGTGTTTTGTTTCATTTCAGTCGACTTAAATTTGTTGCTATTGCTATAGAGAGAAAACGGCTAATACAAATCCAGGCAATATATTCTTCTGAAGTCTGAAGTCTTCTGAAGTTGGGAAAAAAATCCAGTTGACCTGACCAAAAATATATAGGATGTTTCATTAAAAAAAAAAGATTATTTAAAATTTTAACATTTCCGTGTTTCATACTTTTCAACTTAAATTCAGATTTAAAAAAAATTGAGTAAAAGTAAACCACTTTTTGTTGGTCACTTTCAAAATTTATTTGAAATAAATGAACTATGGTCAACTTATGAGGAAWCACCTTGTACCTACAATTAATTAAGCAACACTTTTAATGGACCCTGAATAGTGGAAATACCACTGATCGGCTAAAGTTACGTAGTTTTTTTTGACAAATAACGCGCTAAGAACAAAATACTGTAMAAAATTTRCCCCACAGGGAGTAGAGTGAGGGATTTATGTTGCTTTCAATTCATAGCTTCTTCCAAATCTTCCCTCATCAAATAAGTGTTTTTTTATTACACCCYAATGCGTGTTTTTTAGATACTCTAGCGTGCAGACTGTCAGAGCTATGCATATGTAGGTTCCATATTACAYATCGYAAATTAATAGAGATGGCGGGGCCTAAGTGTGCCCACCCACTRCTGCCTCTGGTGGAGCGTCGGGGTACGGGTACTGGAAAGTACGCACAATCGAGACTTAAGCAATTGTGATCAATAGTAGTTTCACGCACCGGGCAAACAATTGTATACACCGGTAAAGTATTAATAAAGTAGTTGTTTATGTGTTTAAACGGCCTTTTATTAACACCGAACCGTGTAATCATGGTAAAACGGGTAGTTTTGCGACGGGGCACCCGGCACTTACTCTTTGGATACCCTGTATTTCTTCCGCCTCATTCAAATATGATTTTGCTAGCATGTAATGTTATGTATGTGTTTTTTTTAGAGTTCTACTGAAATCTTATGTTTCTTACCAACTGATGGCCTTAGAATCATGACTGGAAGTTTTCCATGTTGCTCTACAACCAAAGCTTCTCCTAAAGCTTTGGTAAACGCGTAAGTATTTGGGATATCTTGCAGAATTCTAGAAAAGAAAGATTCGTTGAGTTTTACTAGTACGAAATGGGACCAATCATCAATAAATTTGCCATTGTACATTTTTTAGTGTTGTCACCAGTGTTGTATAGTGGCCAAGAGTTACAACGGTTATTTGAGGATCTACAAATTTACATAAATATGCATTTTTTAATAGAATTAAATTAGTTGCTAAGCATTAACTGATTAAAATAATGTGCAGACAATATTGTTGAGTTGTTAAATTGACGGAAAATTTTTACAATTTGTTAATGAATCCGGTCATTAAATTGTAATTATTTGACACGTAATTAAACACATGCCTTGAAAAAAGCAAGTTTTGATCAAACAGGACGTTGACCTAGACTTGCTTTAAACACGTGTGAACAAGACATGTTCGTAAGTAAAAGGTTCACATTTTTTGTGGCTTTTGATTAGTTAAAGAATAATTACGTTTTCATTTAGTTCTTCGACATAATGGAAACGCAATTTAGCCATGGAAAGTAGTAGGTTGTGTGAATTATTGTTACAAAATGTCGAAACCCTGAGATAATTAAAATGTACGACGTTGAAAGAATTTTTCGCTCTCGGAAATATAATACCGGGCAATCGTTTGAAAATGATACAGTCACAGTTTTAAGTACTTAAGAGTATTTACGAAAAAACTCTTTAACACGTAAATTTTATTTTTGACAAAGGAAAATTTTCGATAATTAAACTGCCTCTATCTGCAACCCCTGCATACCCAAATGTACTTTATGATACTACTTGGTTGTAAAGAAATTTAGGATTTGTACATTTTATTTCTTCATTCATTCGAAAGAATTACTTTCGTTGTGTTCAGTTTAAGGTCTTTGAGGGGTTTATGTGGAACTGAATATCCAAAGTTATGGTGTACTCAATCGTCCAAAGGATACAAGTAATTTAATTACTTATTGGAAACCCTGAAACTGTTAATAGAACGGCCTGAAATTTTAATGCATTAAATGAACAACCTCATGTCAATCGGAAATACAATTTTGGAGTTGGTGTAAAAATTTTAAGAGAGACCGAGAATGAGACTACTGAGACTGGTTGGATACGTTTTGGAACTTAATCAAGATAATTTGACACGCGTTTGTAATTTTGCGAATTTATGTCTGCACGGATGGTAAATGTTCAACACTTTTCTTTTAACGTATATTGCTCAGACGAATAAGCTTTTTTCGTGCTAACAACATTGACCAGACGAAATAAATAGACCAAAAGGTCTTTACAAAGAATAAGAAGAAGAGTACTTTCTTCCGGAAAGCTAACTTAATCGTTCTTTTTTATTTTTGCGTTTAAACCCGACTGAAGTTAATTTTACGAAAGTTTTCTTTTTAATGTACCTTGAAAATTTACAATCTTTCTTAATTTAGCATTTAACCATGACCGCTAACTTTCTGAAAGAAGGTAAAATAAACTAATTTAAGTAGCTCAATTAATCATATTTTTGTGATGACGCTTGGTTGTAATGGTAGCAGGGTTCTTGATGAGAGCGATGTCTACATCGTTTTCTTTCAAGTATGCCTCAAATTCGTACATTTTAGTGTACAAAGATGCGGCATTCTATGATACGATAACTTATCTTCTTCTTCTTATATTGGGCATTGAGGTTGTATTTTTCTGATCTCTTTTCTCTACTGCTGCAGTCGTATTTGTTACGTAGAGTACAAACTGTATCACCATATTTTAAAGCCCGTTGGATTTAAATCCTTTGATATTCGTGTTAGTCTCTCACCGTCCATTCGTGCAACATGCTGGTTCCCCATCGTACGATATGCTGTGTCCCACAGTTCTATTATTTGAATATTCGGCACTCTGTCTCTCAACGGTTTCTCCGTTATTGATCTCAAAGTTTTAATTTCTATTGTTATGAGTAATATTTTTGTTTCTGTTGTTTCAGCTCTCTTTCTATTGAATATGTTAGTATTGGCCATACACATGACATATATATGCGTATTTTCCCGTCCAGCCTCATTTCCTCAGATGACATCCCTTATACATCCTGATACATAAAGCAACTAAACTTTTGTATACATTCTTCTAGGTCTCCGAAGCTGGATATTTGAATTCCCAGATAATCGAACTTAGAAACTTGTTCCATTATTGCTTCGTTAATTACGATTTTGCATCGCCTGGGTCCGTTGCTACTACGAGCTATTTGGTCTTCGATGTTGAAATCTGCATATCGTAGGTTTCTTCCGCTGTTTTAAAGATATGCACCAAGCGCTGTTGATGGTGCCCTCAGGAAAGCGACGCAATTGGGACACAACGCGATCTTCAGAAAGCTTCAGCTGTCTTCAGACAGTCAAACCCATGGGATTGAAAGCTGATCGAATCAAAACTCTAAGCATTTCGTTACCTTTCAGAACATATGTCCTGGATGAGGGGTGAGATGGTGGATCAACTTCATCAGCTATGATGACTCCGTATGGTATACGGAAGGGACAAAAACCGAGTCCGGCACAGACGCTGGTATAGTCGAAAGAGGAAGAACTGGGGAAAAGATTACCTTAAAGCTGGGTACAATCGCGACTCCCTTCCAAGCAAGTATTCTAGCGATAACAAATGGCGCCCGGAAAATGAGGGAAAGAGCATACACACGTAAGCACATTAACATCGTAACCTGAGATGAAGCCACCGTAAAGGCCCCCGAATCATCCACAATTAGGTCACAATGTGTGTTAGAGTGAGTAAAAGAACTTACGAACCTGGCTGGTAGTTCAAACTGAGTAGAATTCACTTGGGCAACGGGGATAAACCGTAACAAAGAAAACGAGATTACTGCGGAACTTGCCAAGGCACGCGCCGAGCAACCACTGACCAACCGAGAACCTGCTTGTGGCATATCCCATGCCCAAGTTAGGGCGGGAGTTGCCCAATGGATCTTGGAAAAACATAGAAAGTACTGGAAGGAGATACCGCGACTCTTTACCGCAAGGCAGTTGGTGGGACCTCCACAACTAGTGCGTAAAAACTGCTAGATCTTGGCAGGCAAAAAATAAGAAGGATAGTGAACTTTTTAACATGACACGCCCCCGCAAAAACACCTCTTCAGTATGGGGCTGAGCGAACAACCGACCTGCAGGGGGTGCCAATGAGAGGACGAAACTACTCTACATATTATGTGTCACTGCACGTCATATGTAACGAAGATTCCTGGGAGAGGATAAAGTTCTACCAGACCAGGTCATTCAAATTCTTCTGGAATTCCTTGAATACACAAGGATAATGAGGGCGTAAAATACAAGGACACAATAGGACATAAATTACCGCTATGCTAGGCCAAACACCACATCAGAAGTGAGGAAAGGTTTTAGTGGGTATACAGCTAAGCTGGAGTGGGTCCCACACATCCCAGAGCGCCAGATCATCAGCTCTGGGTGTGCGTAAGAGAGCATTTCCCAAACCACACCGAAAAAAAGCGCTGTAGGTTTTCTTCAGTATCCGAGATCAGAATTGCGTCGTCAGCATAACAAAGAAATTTTATCTGTTTTCTTCCAAGCGCATATCCGTGTGGTACCTTGTTTGTTTCTCCTATAATTAAGTCCATTGATAAATTGAGTAAAAGTGGACTTAGGCTATTTCCTTAATTTAATGTCTACTTCCAATGTAAATTCATCCTCCGCTTTAATTGTAGTTTTGTTGTCTGTGTTAATGTCTCTTATTATTATTATTATTATTCTAAACTGCTGGACTGGTGTCCGACTGACTTCTTTAAGTTATTTTAGCACTTCTCCTAATCTGACGCGATCAATGGCGCTAGTCAGGTCCACGAAGCACATCTAACTAGGATTGTTATATTCCATTGCATTCTCAGCAATTTGTTTTACTATGAAAATTAATTGCATCTATTGTTGACCTATTTTGCCGGAAGCCTTGTTGTTCTTCACTTTTTGTATATTCTTTAGTAATCTCATTGGCGACTTTCTTCTTTGGCAATTTTACTGTTGGGTTAAGGAATGTGATCTTACGGTAGTTGCTATGATTCTAAATCTCTAGGATCGTAAAGCACATGGCTGGGCATAGGATTTTTTGTATAAATAATTATCATTAAATAATAAAAAAAATTGCGTTTAGGTGCTAAGGTGTGTTAAGTACATTATCACTAGTTAATTGTAACCTATCACGAGTATAATAGTTCATCTTCCAAGACAGGCTTTGAATGCATACATTTTTGGGCATTAAGAGTATTAAAAAATAGAAAAATATCAGTCGTTTTGTAATTAACTTAAATCCAAGGAATATTTAATACTGGTAGATTATTATTTGGCATTTGAGTTATCAGAGTATGGTTTGTAATTGTCTAAGTTGCTGCTGCACAAGCTAAAGTTACAAGACACATTTTATTTTATCCCACATAAGAAAAACATTTTTTGCGGAATAAAATAGATTAATGTCATAGAGAGATAGATTAATGTCATGTCATAGATGCAGATATAAATAAATACTCGACGATATGTGGGTGTAGTCAGCAAGCCTTCCTTAAAAAATCATGTTGTTTGAAGGTTTTGCAACATTTTTTAGTCTCTCCCCAGTAGACTTTTCTGGACGGAGAAAGTTTTATTGATGACTTTAAATAACCAAACATATATTTAATAAAAATAAAACCCAAATATGCTCCATTCCATTTCTGATGTTATTGCTTTCTCTACTAGATTGTCCAGTTTCCAAGGCATCAATATATTTTTCAGACATAGCATCTTTGACTTTAGGATTGGATCCAACAGCACATTTGATTGGTAGTGTGCAATCGATCACTTCTACCATCAATTCTTTGAGGGTGCTCGCAGCTCTCAGTCCACACACTTTTGCCGTTCTAATATAGAAGCAGTCGACAATTTTTTTATACGATTTACAGGCTTTCTCCGGACTTGACTCGTTCCAGTCAGGCATTCCATTGCAGACTTCGTAGTCTTTATTCAAGTCTGTGTAACACTTGTCGAACTTGTCGTATTTCTTGTAAAAGTCGTTATTCTTGCACAGTTTTGAATCGAATGTTCTCAAACCGTTTATCAGATTCAGATACAAGCCTTCTGTTGCAGTGCAATTTTTTAGATACTCTTCAATCCTTCGTACGGTTGTCGTTGTCGCTGAGCAGGTGCCTTCAAAATCAGCGATAGCAATACCAACAATGCTTTCGGGATTGGTAATTTGCCGTTCGGCTAAAAACTCCACAAGCTTGTTTTCGTCGCACATGGTTTTGGGAGGTGCAACTTGCCTGAGATGGCGCACTTCTTCTTCTTGGAAATAAATGGGCCTATATAGGGCATTTACATCTCTGTTGCACAATAGGGCAAAAATGCACAAAAAAATAGTTAACATTTTAAGGGAGAGGTGTTTATTTTCACTGTCGTAAATAAATTAATCTTGTCAACCCAGACATTGATGGTCACAAGTTAACGCAAATTTGAACGTGATTTATTCGATTTCTAAATAGCTAATCAGTTTATTTTTGACATTTTTGAAAAATCCGAGTATTTATGAAATTATAAAATTACTAAATTAATTAAACATAAATAAGGGCAGAAGATTAATCTTACATTGGCCCAAAACTGTTTAATGCACTATCAATTGAATATTTTGAAAAAACAAGGTAAGATTGTTTCTTCTTCTTCTTCTTCTCTCTTCCAATTAGGCACAATGCCTATTCTAGGTCTAGTAGGTCTAAGTAGCATCATGCAATTTAGTGCATATGGAGAATATTCATATTACATACATTACATATTCAATATACTCAAAAACACGTAATAACATTGACATGGATGAAAATTGCTCAGCCATCAAATAATAATAAGACAATAGACAATAATTTTTTGGTATCGTGTCATTCCTTTCTACCGAATGGCAGTGATTTTGATTGCATTTTTAAAATAATTAATAAATGTTCATGAATTATTTCATTAAATTTTCGAATCAAAAAATATATGACTTAGACCATTTTCATAATTATGGGCACAGTTAATTTTTACTATTTTGATCGAAATGCGGATCTGGAGAAACCACGTCTTTGACGAATCGCGAAAGGCAATTTCTTAGAAAATCGAGGAAGGAACGAAGAAAATTAAAACCGTTTTGCTTTTATACGAGGTAGCTAGAAACCGGATTTCGAAGAACTCGTCTTCTAATTGTAATTTGTTGTGTAACATTCATATTGCAGCACTGGTTTTCTTTCAGTTTCAAAATGAAAAATCTCTAAGACCCAACAAGATCCCGATTTTTCAGCACGAACAATTTAGTGACGATCCTCAAAAGAATTATTAGCTTAGTTGTGATTCCTTGAGGGTTCTAGTTGCAGTATTCTCAAGCCGTTAACATCAATAGAATATACTTTAAATGACATCATTTCGTTTGGTTACGTATTATTCTTGTTCTCTGCCCGAATTCTGCAAAATTCTGTACTAACAGTGAAACTAGCCAGAAAGCTGTTAGAAATAGAAAAATAATGTTTACGTTTGATATTGCATTTTCACAGGGGTGACCGTGTTTGTGAACATACTTCTTTTCATTCAGGCCGCATTAAACCAATAATATGAACAGCGTCTCACAACTTATGTACTTACTTGGGTGTTATCGTCTCCATAACATCATCACTTAACCACTCTGCAGTCTGAATTACTTTGTGGGGATCCGCAGGTGGTGCATATGGTCTTTCGTAGAGTATTCGCTCACTCAGATGACAGTATGCAGTGGATACATGGACAAAACACTGAAATAACAATTCCTGATTATCACCAAACATTTATGAAGGGTGTTCCAATAAGAACGACTGATTTAAATTTTAAATAAAATATATGCATATAGTTGTGGCATAAGTTTGAAACGTTTCTTGAAAAATGAAGTACACATTATGAGAGTCTGAATGGAATAAGACATCGAAGAAATGACGGCCTCGGCTTTGCTGGAACAGACGTACTCTTTTCAAGGACTGTTGCGCATAAATTTTGCGGTATTTCAGAGATACAGTCTTGAATTTAATCTTTTAAGGCTTTAATCGTTGTTGGTTTGTTCACATAAACTTGTGCTTTTAAAAAACCCCAAAGATAAAACTCTAAAGGCGTTAAATCGCATGATTTGGGCGGCCAATGCCGATCTCCAAAACGAGAAATAACACGACCAGGAAATGACTCGTGCAGTAATTCAACAGTTTCTGTGGCTGTATGGCATGTTACACCGTCCTGTTGAAACCACATGCTGTTGTGATCCATATTTTGCAATTTTGGCCCAAAAAAGTTAGTTAACATTTCACGATAACGAACACCACTCACGGTTAATGCTTGACCAACTGCATTTTCGAAGAGAAATGGTCCGATGGTGCCTCCTGTCTACAATGTACACCAAACAGTGACTCTTTTTGGGAGAATCTGTTTCTGAACGATTACTAGTGGATTTTCCGACCCTCAAATGCGTTTCCAATTGCCAAATTATTACTTAATTTGAAGCTTTGTAACGGCTACAAATGGAATTTAGCCAATGGTTCACCTGTCTGCTAACTCGTTGTTCAAATGTATGTAGTAATAAGTTATAATTGTAATAAGCTATTGGTGTCAACCGATTTTCATTTGTAATTTGGATTCAGAATAAGAATCAAGATCTATCCGATCCGACTCCGATCATACAATCGGACGAAGATCTGAGAGCAAAATGGTACTAGACTTTCAACACCATAGTTCACATCTTTCCGCTACCTGCACGATCCGTCTCCGTTTTTGTATCCGATGATCATGTTCCGATTTTGCTGGCTATTCGATGGGTATTTGCTACCCGATTGTCGGAAGGAAAAACGGTCCCCATTTTAGGTTGCGTCAGTGATACATTTGGTTTTTAATGGACAATATCTACAGTGAGCTGTAGATATTTAAATATTTTGATTGGGCTTACA